CTGCCTTTGCCTGAATTACTGTGTTTTTTTTTAATTCTACAAAGGTTGATTTAAAAAATAACACATATAGCCATGAGGCTCCTGCTGCTTCTTGTTTGATGACATTATAGGTAATGAAAACAAATTAAGCTGGCTTAGCTATTAAATTATATTTACCTGAAGTCATGGAACTTCAAACATGAACATATTCTTTGAAAGGTACAACTTACGTAAATCTATTTGTTTTGTACTCCCTGCAGTAATTTGTGTTTGATAGCCACTCTGTAAATGGTTTTTGAGGACATGATTCTGAGTTATTTCTTGTTGACCTTTAGAGTTGACAGCATCTGTACACAAGTTCTTCATTTCTTCAGCCTTCTTCAGTTGGCACAAAAGAAATCAAAAGTGATGGAGCATTCCTTCCAGTATAATTCTTTCCAGAACACATCATTTTAGCAATGTTACAGAGTTTCTGATAGTTGTATTTGAGATATCTGTTATTTTTCTCATTAATTTAACCTTAATCACTTTGTTGAAACTCTTCTTACATTTTTAAAGTTCATATGTTGTCTTAGTTTTTCTTGCTGATTCCTTTTTATCTCCCCTGTCTCTAAATTTTTGAGTGCCCCAGGGATTAGTCCTTGGCTCTCTCCTCTTTTCTGTTCCATTCTTTTTTTTTTTTTTTTTTTTTACTTTATTGAATTTTAGAGAGAGAGAACAAGGGAGAGGGAGAGAGAAATATTGATGAGAGAGAACATCAATTGTCCATCTCCTGCATGCCTCCTGCTGGGGATTGGGCCCACATGCTGGGCATGTGCCCTGACCAGGAATTGAACTGGTGACCTCTTGGTGCATGCCTCGATACTCAACCACTGAGCCACACCAACCAGGCTCTGTCTCATTCTTTAAGACAGTGATTTTATCCAGACTCATGGCTTTAAGTACCATCAAGATACTAATGATCCCAAATCTATCTCTGTTCACCTCTCCCCAGATCTCCAGACCTGTTTATCAGCTGCCTACTGGATTTGTCTAATAGGCATCCCTAATTTAACATGTCTTGTTCTGAGCTTCTGATGTTCCCCCACAAACCAGCTTCTGCAGCCTTCCCTATCTATATTAATGCCAGGTCCATTCTTCTAGCTGCTTGGGCCAGAAACCTTGATGCCACTCTTGACTCTTCTCTGTCTCACACTCAACATCTTGTTTATTAGGAAATCCTGTTAGCTGTCTCCAAAATGTATCCCAATTTGACCATTTATCAGCATTTCCTCTGCCATATCATCCTGGTCCATGCCACCATCTTTTGCCTGGCTTATTATAGTGCTTCTTAACTGGTCTCCTGCACCTGCTTTTGCTTCCCCACAGTCTGTTCTTAGTACATATCCAGAATAACCCTGTTAAGACTTCTGTTAGTTCTTATAATTTTTCTGTTGAAAACCTTCCACTCAGAGAAAAAAACCTATGTGATCTAACCCTATTAACTTTCTACCCTCGTTTTCTACTGTTCACTTCCTTGTTTACTCTGTTCCAGCCCCATGGCCTCTTTGCTGTCTTTGAACATGCCCTTCCTTTCACCTCAGAGCCATTGTACTTGCTGTTCACTCTGTAGAATGCGCTTCCTGCTGATGTCAGCAAAGCCAGCGCTCTCACTTCCTTCAAGTTTTTACTCACTATAGCCTTCCCTGGCAGTATATGCATCTTGTTTTCCTGTTTTCTGCGCTGGAATGTAGTCTTCATGAGGGTGAGGGTTTTGTCTTCTTTTGTATAATACAGAATCCTTAGCACCTAGAAATAGTGCCTGGCACATAGTAGATACTTATATAAGTTTCATGTGTACAACTTTATAATACATCTGAACACTCCATTGTCTGCTTGTGAAACCTCATAAATAAGAAAATAGTAAGTGAACATAGCTCCACTAAATGTAAAGTTATGTTGAAAAAAAGGATTGAAAGAAGGCTAGATGGAAGATAAGAAGGGTCTGGAAAGTAATTCTAAATTTGTGAAATTAGAGCAATCCTATAAATGTACAGATAGCAGTAGTACTTTTTTTAAAGAACTACTTTAATATTTTCCCATGTGGGTAACAAAAATTAGCTAGTATCATCAATAGAAAACAGATTTGGGGCCCTGGCCAGTTTGGCTCAGCGGTTAGAGCATTGGCCCGCGGAACAGAGTCCTGGGTTCAGTTCCCGCTACGGGCACGTACCTCGGTTGTGTGGTTTGTCCCTGGGCCCGTTTGGGGTCGTATGGGTGGCGACCACTCAATGTGTCTCTCTCACATCAATGTTTCTCTCTCTCTCTTCCTCCCTCTCTCCCTCCTGCTCTGTCTCAAGATAAAAATGCAAAAATGTCCTTGGGTGAGGATAAAAAAAAAAAAAAAAAAAACAGATTTGGGAATTAGCTGCAGCATGAACCAGGAGGTAAAGTTCTACCCTAGATTAAAAATTGTGGACAGCCCTGGCCTGTTTGGCTCAGCAATTAGAGCATGATGATTTTGTAACTGCGCATTTGTACTTCTCAATTCCTTCACCTTTTTCATCCAGTTTCCCAGTGCCCCTCCTGTCTGGCAACCATCAATTTGTTCCATGTGTGTTTCTGTTTTGTTTGTTCATTTATTTTGTTTTTTAAATTCCACATATAAGTGAAATGATATCTGTCTTTCTCTGTCTGACTTATTTCACTTGGTATAATACCATCTACGTCCATCCATATTGTCACAAATATGCTACATGTATTATTGTACAATTTCGTGTTCCATGTTAGTATATATAGATGTACTCACTTCTTTTCAACCTAGTTTCTCTATTTTACAAATTTTTTTATTTTTTTAAATAATGTATTGGTTTTTAGAGAGAGGGGGGAAGAGAGAGAGAGAAACATCAATGTGAGAGTGCAACAGCGATAGATCGACTGCCTCCTACACAACCCCTGCTGGTGGTTGAGCCTGCAACCCATGCGTGTGCCCTGACTGGGATTAAATCAACAACCTTTTGGTGCACAAATGTCATCCAACAACTGTGCCATACAGGCCAGGGCTACATTTCACAAATGTCTAAAAAATCAACATAAAAAAATAATGTAGCCCTGGCCGGTTTGGCTCAGCGGTTAGAGTGTCGGCCTGCGGTACAGAGAGACCCGGGTTCGGTTTCCGCTAAGGGCATGTACCTCGGTTGCAGTTTGTCCCCGGCCCTGGTTGGTCGTGCGGGTGGCAGCCACTCGATGTGTCCCTTCACATCGATGTTTCTCTCTCTCTCTCTTCCTCTCTCTCCCTCCCGCTCTATCTGAACAAAAAATGGAAAAATGCCCTCGAGTGAGGATAAAAAAAATAAAAATAAAAAAATAATGTATAGGAAAGTTGCCTGTATGAAGCCTTAAAACAATTAAAAAATGCTTTTGATGTCTTAGTCATCACAACTAAAGAGCATAAGATACATATCATTTATGGCCTAGAAATTATTATATTTTCATATTAGCAAAAAAGAAAACATTAACTCAGATCAACTTGTCAGAATCTGGCCTTAACTGCATGTACTCTATGCAGAAATTTTCTTAATAAAGAAAATAAGGTAATGGAGAGAAGCAAAAAGAAAAATTCTTCATGGTGAAATTACTGAAAAGATGATCACTGCTAACAGTGCATTTTATTTATCTTTGTATCTATACAAGTTGTGTTTGCTTATTTTTGTATGGTTTTAATTATACTATAATTTAAATTTGCATCTTGTATCTCCCCCTCCCTCAGTTAAAATTTTAACTATTGGTCTATATTGATTTAGATAGATTTTCAGCAGAGGAATTACTAGATCAAATGTTATGACTATTAAAACAATTTTTTTATATATATTGCTACTACCACTTTTCAAAAGTATTGTGCCACCCTGGCCGGTTTGGCTCAGAGCATTTAGAGCATCGGCCTACGGTCCAGAGAGACCCGGGTTCAATTCCCGCTAAGGGCACGTACCTCGGTTGCAGTTTGTCCCCGGCCCTGGTTGGGTCGTATGGGTGGCAGCCACTCTATGTGTCCCTTTCACGTCGATGTTTCTCTCTCTCTCTCTCTCTCCCCCTCCCGCTCTGTCTGAACAAAAAATGGAAAAATGTCCTTGGGTGAGGATAAAAAAAAAAAAGTATTGTGCCAATTAATACTTTAACCAATCAGGTCTGATATTGTATTGCATCACACCTGTGCTTAGATTGGGCATTATGATTTTAAAAATATTTGTAACTGCAAAAACAAGTAAATGTTTCCTTGCAGTTTTAATTTTTACTTCTTCCTTTTTTTTAATGATATTGCACATTTTTCCATAGACGTATTACTAACTGTATCCTAGTGTATATTAAAACACTCTTTTGCAGCTTGAGTCCTCCATTTAGAGGAAAACAAACCCTTTTATTTTATTATTATTATTTTTTAATCCTCACCTGAGGACATTTTTTTTTGTATTTATCTTCAGATAGAGCAGAAGGGATAGAGGAAGGAAGAGAGAGAGAGAAACATCGATGTGAGAGAGACACATCGAGTGGTTGCCACCCACACGACCCTAACCAGGGCTGGGGACAAACTGCAACCGAGGTGTGTGCCCTTAGCAGAACCGAACCCGGGTCTCTCTGGTCCACGGGCCAACGCTCTAACTGCTGAGCCAAACCGGCCAGGGTGAAAACATCCCTTTTTAAATAAAACTTTAGTGGAGTATGCTCACAATGTGCTGTTTCTTTATTATAAAAATAATTATTAGTTAATTATTGACTTTTACCAATCATCCAGGTTACCATATTGAAATTATCCTCAAATCTAAATCAGGGTTTTTCAAAATGTTCAATTAATAGAAAACAATTTTTAGTCTGGGGAAATGTGGCTTAATAAGAACTATCTGAGATATATCTAACAGCATATGTTTGGTTGATTTTATTGAGTAGTAGTAAATGGCAAAATAATCAGACATTTGATATTTCTATCAGAAACAGTTAACTTTTATTAAAATAAATTATCTCATGTTAAATATTTTTTTCTTTTCAAGGTATCATAGACGTCGTAAGAAACTGAATCCTCCAAAAGACAGATGACACAGGTTTTCAGTAATCGAGGAGGAATGCTGTCCTGTATCTCATTTACTATTTGAGAAAATGCAATCAGATATGTTATGTTCACTACTGTGTTATATAGAAAAATAGTAATAAAATGTTTTTTCATCTGTTAGAATGTGTATTTCTTTATGTATATTAAGTAATTCTGGATTTGACATTCTTATTTAGAGGAACCTACTTTATTTTCCCTTTGAGATATTTATTTGTTTATTTTTAATGTTTTTATTGATTTTTTAGAGAGAAAGGAAGGGAGAGAGAGATAGAAGCATTGATGTGAGAGAGAAACATTGGTCGGCTGCCTCCTACACGACCCCCAGTGGGGATCGAGCCTGAAACCCAGGCATGTGCCCTGAAGGGGAATCGAACTGGGACCTCTCAATTTATGGGACGACGCTCAATCCACTGAGCCACAGCGGCTGGGCTCCATTTATTTTTATGTGACTAGTATAATCAAGTATTCTACATTATTAACCAAATATTGTTAGTAGTGTAAGTATGATTAATAAAAATGTGCATGGTTCTCCTGGACATTTTTAAATTGCCTTTCAAAGGAAACTGAGAAGTTCCACTCAGAAAACATGTTATAGTGGTTTGGGTTTTTTTTTCTGGCATCTAGGAAATAATTAAATTAGTTACATTTTAATCAGTTACTACTATCTGCTAGGTTCTTTACATGCATTATTATTATTGAATTCTCACAATAATCCTCTGAAGGAAGAGCATCGTCCTCATGTACAGATTAACGAGCGCTAAGTGACCTCCTTACCTAGCAAGTGGGAAGGCTGGGATCCGAACTGTCACTCTCCAAAGCATTTTTACAGTGCATCACAACGACAAGGGGGTCTTTTCTTTCACCCAGGAATGTACTTTCCTATAAAGACTGTGTTACGTAGGTTGTTTGAAAAGTTTTTAGTTGTTTTAAAATTATGCTAGCTTTGGAATACATGCAACTCTGTGATTAAAGCATTAATATCACTAAACTAGTGTTACGAGAATGTCAGTAGAGTATCCTACTGTTGGCTGTCACTACCAGCTTATATAGGGGTGGGCAAAAGCAGTTTATACTTGTTCATATGGAAAATAACACAATAATAAATAATACAAAAATAAACTTTCACATAGTCACTGTAAACCTGCTTTTGCCCCACCCTGTATATGGTCCTTACTAACATTGCTGTCCCTGTGATATCTGTTTCGGAGGTGAGGAATCTTATTAGAGGGCGAAAAGTACTTTATTCAAACTCCTAAAAAATTTGTGATATTCATTTATTTATTTTTAACATCCTTACCCGTGGATATTTTTCCGTTTATCTTCAGATAGAGTGGGGGGGGAGGCAGAGAGAGAGAAACATCAATGTGAGAGATACACATCAATTCGTTGCCTCCCGCACCACCCTGACCAGGGCCGGGGACCAAGGTGCAACCGAGGTACATGCCAAGGACCAGAATGGAACCTTGTGACTCTGGTCCGCAGGCTGACGCTCTAACCACTGAGCAAACTGGCCAGAGCAAAAATATTTGTGATATTTTAAAAATTGATGTGAAAAATGATTTTATATTCAAAATCTATTGTTTAGTTCTTTTAATAAAACTCTAGCTGAGGTTCAAGTATTCAGTAAAATATAAAGAATAATGAATAGGAAAGGAAATAATGACCACTGTTACTGGAAGAAAATGTTTGTGTTTTACTTTTTAAAAAAATTAATGTATTATTAATTTGGGGGGAAAGATCAGAGAAAAGAGAAGTTGATAGAACTTGATAATTAGAAATATTTACTAGCCATGTTTGATGACATATCTTTGAAAAATACATTGGTTTTTTTAGATTGATTTATATCCAATGTTTTACACAGATTGAGTTATGCCATATTAAAAGTAGAGAGAATAAAAAACATATTAATTAAATGACAGATTTCCTTCAAGTACAAAGAGCTACTAAATAGAGATTGTTCAACTGTAAGTTGCCCAAACCACATACTCATATGTCAGTTTTGGAGAATTAACTTTAATTTTATTGTACTGGAAATACAGATTAATACCGTAGTTACTAGAATTTTGGTTTCCATGGGTTGCTGATTTTTAAATTGGCGAAGTGAGTACATACTCCATTAGCACCATCACCACCACACGGCTCTTCCCATTCCCCACTGTCACTAGCTTTATTCAGTCATTGTGAAAGGTCCACATACTTGTTTTTTTCAGAAAGTTAAAAATTACATAAGATGAGACAGGCATTTAAGCAGAATAATTAGGTTTTATGAAAAACTCACTACCCAGTCCTTGTTCTCGTATTTCCATTGTGGAGGTAGATTAGCACACCTCAGATTGATAAGAGCACTGTTGGTTAAAACCACCAGAGGGCACATTGACATGGTCTGGTGGAACACCCTACACCCAAAGGTAGTCATTTTTAATGTGCTTAACTAGCAGAATATTTGGATATTCTTTAGGTAAGAATGACTAATGGAGTAAATGGCAGTAGTAAAACTAAATGTTGAAATATTTTGAGGCCATTATTCTTTTGATCTAGTCATCAAACATTTATTAAACCCCTACTATATGTGAAGGAGGCATTATACTTTTTGCTAGGCCAATAGCAAAATATTGTTCCTTCTTAGGGACTGTATTATCTACCTAACCAGAATCTATCGAGATACGTAGTTTTTCCAATGACACTGATTTTCAAAACATGAATGTAATATAATGCATTCTTTTTAAAAATTGGAGATTAAATAAATAGAAAATAAAAATTACAGTTGTCCAGTACAAAGATAACACAACATTTTTGCTTAACCTTCTTCTCTGTTTCACTACATAAATATACTTCAAAAAATAAAAATAGGCCCTGGCCGGTTTGGCTCAGCGGTTAGAGCGTCGGCCTGCGGTCTGGAGAGACCGGGGTTCAGTTCCCACTAAGGGCACGTACCTCGGTTGCAGTTTGTCCCGGGTCCTGGTTGGGTCATGTGGGTGGCGGCCACTCGATGTGTCCCTTTCACGTGGATGTTTCTCTCTCCCTCCCTCCCACTCTATCTGACCAAAATATCGAAAAATGTCCTCGGGTGAGGATAAAAATAAATAAATAGATAAATAAATAAAGTATTATGCATGCTGTTTTGTAACTTGCTATTTTCATTGAATATTATGATTTTTCTTGGCTTATCATTAAATACCTTGATATAATGGATGCATATTATTTTATCTGGCTTGTCAATTTAATTAAGTCCCTACTGTTAGACATAATCATTGTTTCTGTTTGTTTCCTATATTATAAATAATGCTCTTATTAACGAACTGGTGGATACTTTTCTTTTTAAAAATGACTTTTTTTTATCCTCACCTGAGGACATTTTTCTATTTTTTGTTCAGATAGAGTGGGAAGGAGAGAGAGGAAAAGAGAGAGAGAAACATCAGCATGAAAGGGACACATCGAGTGGCTGCCTCCTGCAGGGCCCTGACCCAACCAGGGCCGGGGACAAATTGCAACCGAGGTACGTGCCCTTAGCGAGAACCAAACCCGGGTCTCTCAGGACCGCAGGCCGACGCTCTAACCGCTGAGCAAAACTGGCCAGGGCAAAAGTGACTTTATTTTTAATGTGTTTTTTTAAAAATTGACTTTAGAGAGAGTGGAAGGCAGAAGGAGAGACAGAAACATTGATGAGAGGGAAATATCAACATCAATTGGCTGCCTCCACTGGGGATTGAGCCCAAAACCCAGGCATGCGCCCTGACCAAGAATCAAACTGGACACCTCTTGGTGTATGGGTTGACGCTCAACCACTGAGCCATACAGGCTGGGCCAACTTTATTTTTTAAAGCAGTTATAGGTTCATAGCAAAATTGAGTAGAAGAGATTTTCCATGTCCCCACATACACATAGCCTCTCCTATTATCAACATTTTACTGGAGTGATACATTTGGTACAATTGATATATTATCCATATATCAGAGTCCATAGTTTAAGGTTCACTCTGTGTTGTACACTCTATGGGTTTTGACAAATGTAGAATGGCATGTACCTACCATTATAGTATACAGAGTAGGTTCACTACCCTTAAAAATCCTATGCGCTCCACCTATTCATCCCATTTTCCCTCCCTAACCTTGATAAACACTGATTTTTTTGGTTGTCTCCATAGTCTTGCGTTTTCCATAATGTTATGTGTTGGAATCATACCATATATAGCCTTTCAGATTGGCTTCTTTTACTTAGTAATATGAATTGAAGTTCCCTTCCTATCTTCTGAGGGCTTAATAGCTCATTTCTTTTTAGTACTAGATAATATTCCATTGTGTGGATGTACCATAGTTTGTCCATTCATCTACTGAGGACATCTCGGGTTGCATCCAAATTTGGCAATTATGAATAACATTGCTATAAATATCCATGTTCAGGTTTTTGTGTGGACATAAGTTTTCTTTCTTTTTCTTTTTAAATGTGTTTTTATTAACTTTTTTAGAGAGGTAGGGAGAGAGAGATAGGAACATCAATGAAAAAGAAACATCGATGTGAGAGAGAAACATCTATCAGCTGCCCCCTGCATGCTCCCAACAGGATTGAGCCTGAAACCCAGGCATGTGCCCTGACCAGGAATCAAACCAGGACCTCTCAATCCATGGGACGACACTCAATCCACTGAGCCACACCAGCCAGGCATAGACATAAGTTTTCAATTTCTTTGAGTAAACACTAAGGAGCATGATTGCTAGATTGTGTGGTAAGAGTATGTTTAATTTTGTAAGGAACTGTTAGACTTTCTTCCAAAGTGGCTGGACCATTTTGCACTCACACCAGCAATGAGAGTTCCTATTGTTCCACATCCCGTCAGTCAGCATTTGGTGGTGTCAGTGTTTTGGATTTTGGCCACTCTAATAAATATGTAATGGTATCTTGTTTTAATTTGCATTTCTCTGATGACTTATGATGTGGAACATCTCTTTATATGCTTATTTGCCATCTGTATATCTTTGGTGTGGTGTCTATTAAGGTCTTTGGCCCATTTTTTAATCTAGTTATTGTTGAATTTTAAGAGTTTATTGTATCTATTGGTCAAGAGTTCTTTATCAGATAAAT